AAACGAACGAGTTTCAAAATTTTGTATTTAAATAAAAAAAAACTTCTTTGAAGTAATTATATATATATTTTATTTATATATATATATAATTAAAGTCGTATTTATTCATAATAGTTGTTCTCTTAACTATTATTTTGGTCAAAATTCATTCTTGATGCTAAATAACAGATAACATTCTTCAAGAAACTTTATGAACTTTTTTAAAAAAAAGTATATTAATAAAAATAATAATAATAATAATATAAAAAAATGTCTAGAAATCGTCCATCACCACAAACTTTAAATAATAATGTAAATAGAGATAATCCATCCATCTCCCAAAATTCACAATTACAACAAAGGAGATATCAACAACAACAACAACAACATAAAAATGCTACTTCTCCTCCATCTTCTCGTCCAACTTCTCCTTCAAGTCCTTCACATCGTTCAATGAATTCTAACCCATTTGATGATAATTCCAATCCTTCTTATAATCCAAAAGATTATTATAATAATAATGCTAATTCAAGGGCATTTGAACGAAGAGATTCAAATCAACAAAATCAACAAAAAAAGATAATATGGAATCATCAATTGGAACAACAACAACGTCAACAAATTCAAAAATATCAACAATATCAACATTTGCAACATAATAAACCTAATAATGAGATTATTAATGATAAAAATCAACAATTTACTAATGATACAGTGAATATTAATAATGAAGGTGATAAAGTTGTTAATCATAATAATGATGATGATGATGGTGATGAAAGTGGTGAGGTATCCGATTTTTTTCAAAATGTTTATACTCCTTCAAGTAGTAATAATCGTAATGATTATAAATCAAGAATGTCTGTTATTTCAATGGCTGAATCTGTTCCTGGTAAGTGTTTTATTTTAAAAATCATTAAAATCATTAATTATATCATTAATTAAATCATTTTATTATTATTATTATTATTATTTTTTTTAGAACAATTGCCATCTTCAACTAATCAAAAGGATTCTTCGGAAAAATCTGTTTCTAAACTTCGTTCTAGTAATGATCATAAAAATATTAATTTTGATCAAAATAATCATGATAATGTGGAAATGAATGTATTAAATGATAAAAAGAATCCAAAATTATCTCGTACAAAGAGTCATAGACCACGTCCTCATGCTGAAGAATCTTCAGTTCCATTATCTAATAATAATGATGATGATTCATTTCCTACTGAAAGACCAAAAAGTCCTTCAAAAAGTTTACTTAGAATGCCTTCTATTATGAGAAGTTATAATGATAATGAAAATCCTTCATCAAATCTTCCACGTCGTCAAAAATCTCTTGTTAGACCTGAACGTGCACGTAATAATAATTATAATCGTCGTATTAGCAGAGGTGCTATGTCAACAAGGCAAATGTATGATGGAAGTGATGAAGAATCAAGATTTAGTGTATTCTCTGGTAATGGTAATGGAGGTGATGATAGACGTAAAAGTACTATGTCAATTGCTAGAAGAAATTCAATGAAAGATCCTCCAAGAAAAAGAAAATGGTATAAATGTCAATGTCCTTCTTGTTGGATTTTATTTTCTCGTATTGTCACTTTTTGGGCTCCTCCTTCTTTATTATCATGTTTCGGTATGCATGATAGATTAGTTCAACAAGCTTGGAGAGAAAAGATGGCTTTGGTCTTTATCATTTTTATTCTTTGTATTGTTGTTGGTTTCTTGACTTTTGGTTTTGAGACTACTGTTTGTAGAAAAGCACCTTTGGAAGGAATTCAGTTTGGTCATATGTCATTGAATCAAGCTACGATATTAGGAAAAGTTTATGATTTAAGTAGTTTTCCACATCCTGTAGTACCACCATATGTTAAAGATTCAGATCTTGCTAATCCTGTTAATGGATTTGGTCGATCCGATTTATCATTCTTATTTCAATCTGTCAATTTTGAATGTAAAAATGTGCTTATTCCCAAAGTTACAAATGCTGATGGTTCAGTATTAAAATATTTTCCTTGCGTAGTTATACATGAAAATGATGACCCAAATCCAACTGCAAATCCTCAAAATGGAGGATGTCATGTAAATCCTAGTGAACGAGTTGACGCTCTCAGTAAATTTAAGGTAGTAGGTCAAACTTATTTTGAATGGAGTGACGTAGATAATCCTGATAACAAATATGTTGTATACAACGGGTATTTATTTTTATTATATTATTATTATTTAACTTTTTTTTTTTTTTTTTTAATATTTATCGGGGGGTTTTTTTTTTCTTTTTTGATAGTCAAGTTCTTGATTTAGATCGTTTCCTATGGAAGGATCCAAATATTGATTTACCTGATACACTGATCAAATTAATAAATGATGATAATGATGTATTCCATGGTCGTGATATTACTCATTATTTACACTCAGATAATGAAAAACTCAATTTAGCAAAATGTATGGAAGAGATTATTAAAGTCGGTGTTATTGATGAGATATCCATCAGTTGTCTTATCACTGATGTGGTTACGTATGTCAGCTTTATTGTAATCGTCGGCGTAGTTTTAGTTAGATTCTTTTTGGCCGTTTTATTTGGTTGGATTTTAAGTTGGCGTCTTGGTAGTTTCCGTGAAGAAACTGCTGATGATATTTCTAAACGGGAAAAAGATATTGAACGTTGGTCAAATGAAAATAATCATTTTAATTCAAGGTACGATTTTAATAATATTTGTTTGTTTGTTTGTTTGTTTGTTTATATTTATTTAATTATTTAATTATTTATTTTTTTATAGAGATTCAAGTAGTTCATCGTTCAAGTTATTTAATTTAAATAAATCAAGATTTTCAACACTTCCTCCACCTGGATCAGCTCCATTTGTTGACCGAAGAAGACAAGATGGTCGAACTGGTAGTAGGATGTATTCAGCTCAATCTGGTGAGAAGAATTTTAACAACAGCTCGACTAGTTCACTTGTAAGACCAATATCAACTAATAGTTATACCACAGCTATGGTGAAAGACTCGAACGGATCCGCAAGAACAAGTCGACCTTCATCTATTATTAATGAAAATAATAATAGTCGAGCGAATTCCATGTCTTCAACATCATCTTCGTCTTATGGCCAAATACAAAGTTTAAATCCTGTCAATGAAACCCGGTTTAATTTTCCATTATTACACACAATCATGTTAGTTACTTGTTATTCCGAAGGTTTGCAAGGAATAAAGACAACTCTCAATTCTTTAGCAAGAACTGATTATCCAACTTCACATAAACTTATTATGATTATTGCCGATGGTGTAATTTTTGGTTCTGGTAATGATTTATCAACCCCCGATATTTGTCTGTCTTTGATGCATGAATTTGTTGTACCTAGAGATGATGTAATAGCACATTCTTATGTTGCTATTGCTGATGGAAAAAAACGGCATAACATGGCTAAAGTATATGCTGGTTATTATAAATGTAGAGATCAACATGATCATAATAAAGTTCTTAAGATTCCAATAGTAACTATTGTAAAATGTGGAGGTCCTGATGAACAAGATGAAAAAAAACCGGGTAATCGCGGAAAACGTGACTCTCAAATGATTTTGATGAGTTTCTTACAAAAAGTTATGTTTGATGAAAGAATGACACCTCTTGAATATGAATTCTTTAATTCAATTCGAACCGTTACTGGTGTTACTCCCGATCATTTTGAAATCGTTCTTATGGTAAATATTTTTTTAAATAATAATAATAATATTTATAAATTTAAATTAAATTTTTACTTAAGTCTTTTTTTTTTTTTTTTCCGGAAATAGTATGCGTAAATAAATTTTAAATGTTTGATTGATTTATTTGTTTATTTATTTTTATTTTTAGTTTTTGAATATTATATTTCTCATCATATGCAAAAAGCATTTGAATCGATTTTTGGTGGTGTAACATGTTTACCGGGATGCTTTTGTATGTATCGTATTAAAGCACCAAAAGGGCCTAATGGATATTGGGTACCAATTCTTGCCAATCCTGATATTGTTGAACAGTATTCTGAAAATATAGTTGATACACTCCATAAGAAAAATCTATTATTATTAGGAGAAGATCGATATTTATCAACATTAATGCTTCGAACATTCCCAAAAAGAAAAATGGTATTTGTTCCACAAGCAGTATGTAAAACGATTGTACCTGATACATTTAGGGTACTTAGATCGCAAAGACGTAGATGGATCAATTCTACCGTACACAACTTATTAGAATTAGTATTAATCCCAGATTTATGTGGAACTTTTTGTTTTTCAATGCAATTCGTTATATTTATGGAATTGGTTGGTACAGTAGTATTACCAGCTGCTATAACATTTACTTTATATCTTATCATAATATCATTTGTAAAAAAACCCGTACCATATCTTCCACTCGCACTTTTAGGTGTTGTATTGGGTTTACCGGCAATTTTAATTTTATTGACAACACGTAAAATTGTATATGTTGGATGGATGTTAATTTATTTATTCTCGTTACCAATATGGAATTTTGTATTACCAGTATATGCTTATTGGCATTTTGATGATTTCTCATGGGGACAAACACGTAAAGTTGAAGGTGAAGAAGCTGGAAAGGATCATTCGCGTAAAGAAGGAGAATTTGATAGTACTCAGATTGTAATGAAACGATGGGCAGAATGGGAACGCGAAAAACAATATAAGACTAGAGGTTCAATAAGTTCAATACAACAACATATTTCATCGGCTCCGTTAAGTTCAGAAGAAGGATATTCAAATTCAAGACCAGGAAGTGAAAAATCTTCATATTATACACCATCTCCATTAAATCCAGTATTAAGAACTGGTGGTAAAAGAAATACAGGACCCGGCGTAAAGACGAGAGCTCCTACTTCAGATTCTTTAAAGGTACCTCCTCCGTTAAGTAACTATTCTTCTCCTCCCGATTCAACCAATAGTAGTTCAACACTCACAACGGATGCATATGCTTCAACTCCGACTGAAATAGATTATCAACAAAATATAATACCGAGATCTAATAATAATAATAATTTTAGTTATAGTAGTGATAATAATAATAGTAATTTTCCAGGTAATTTCGAAGAAGCTCATTTACGGGATCAAAATGGTTATGATTCTTCGTAAATGAAAAGACAATTAGGAACAATTCTTTTATTTTTATATGTTCGGGTTTAAAAACTTTTGTTTAAAAACTGTGAACCCTACTCCTCATTAATGACGGTTCTGTATAGAATTTAAAATAAAGAAAAATAATAGTTATTTGTATTCATCGAGGAAATTTTTTTGGTTTTTTATGTATTTTTTTCTTGGTTGTATATTAGTTTTAATATAGATAATACAGTATTTTTTTGGCGGGACGAGTAAATTTTTTTTTTTATTATTATTATATATTTTTTTTTATATATATATAACATAACAAATTACTTTAAATTGTTAATTAAAAAAAAAAATTTATTAGATTCATTATAAATCATTTATCAAATATTATTTAATATTATTAAGTTCCAATCAATGAAAGAATGGGACTTTCGAGAGTAAACTATTTTACAAATCAAATATTCATTCATACTAAATTTAGATAATTTTTTTTTCGAAATTGGAAAATATTAATCATTTAATCAATTATCAATTATTTATCAATTATCAATTATCATTTATCATTTATCAATTATCATTTACTAAATCGTTTTTAATCATGATCTATATGATCTATATTTATTTTTTTTATTTTTTTTCTTTTTATCAATTTATCAATTCAAGTTAAATGCATATTTTAAGAAGGGAAAAAAAAAATACGTGATACGGGACTACATGCATAAATGTACAGTCCATTATGTACATGTATCGGGTAAATCAGAAAAAGAAACTTACATGGATAATCAAAAAAAAATTGTTGAAAATTTTATTTCCCCCTAATTCTCACTTTAGAAAAAAAAAAAAAAAAAA